TCTGCCGGCCCAATGCCTTGATTTCTTGCCAATAGTGGGGCTCAGTCCTGAATGGCGGTCAGCTGCTACTACTAGCCCCCAGTAGCCCGGTAAGTTAACTGCGGGTACCTACGGTGTACTCCATACTCTGTCAAGCACTTGCCATCAAGTCTATCGCTCAAAAATCATGTGTCTTATTGCATCCTGGCTTAGATCTATAAGTCCCCGGTCATCCATTATGATCTTCTCCCATTTCATCCTTCAAATGAAATAGTTCCGAATGTACGTCTTAGATAAAAACCTCCCGCCTTCGTAGCTCGTAACGTGCAGGCTCGAAGGACTAGATGCACTCAGTGCGAAACGGGGCTTTCCCTTCATCACAGCGACCCCTCCTGGATCCTGAGCATTGAAGTTTTCGTCAACTGTGAGATCATTCATTCTCAACATAACCAATCATTACCGTTCCGTTCTTCAAACCGGCTTCTTCGATGCTTGCATCCAATGAGTCGATCAGATTACGACCCATGGCATTGAGGTCGAACTCCACCCCTTGCTTGTCTGCCAACGGAGGTTCGGCTTTGAGCCACTCGTAGATCCTCCGAACCGGGTCCGCCAGAGCGAAGCGGCGAATGACTCTTCCGGAGGGATGGCGGAACTGAATGCGCGTCGTTGTTGCGGGATCGGCCGGTGGTTCGTTGTGGGGGTTGTCATTTGAGATGGCAGCGAATGCACTATGCTCACCTGGCGCCTCTTCATCCATGTCGACGTCTTCCACATCGACCGCCTTCCCCTTACCTTTGACGTCTCCAGTACTGCGGGTAAGCTCATCAGGATCCTCCAATTTCGGGGCTTGGGCCGCCTGTTCACCCAGGCTGTTCCTCATCGCCATCTCCAACATTTCTTCCTCAGTCATGGCATCTATGCTCTTCTCCTTCTGTTCCGGCTTGCGCTTAGCAACGGGGTTCCGCACGTTGTGTTTCAGACTGTACCGGTCCAAGAATTCGTGAAGTTGCATCAAGAATTCGGCGGCCCGCACAACTGGAGGACCAGACCAGACCTTCATCTGTTCTCCCGTCCGAGGATCGACAATTGCGATGTGAGGGTAGTTGTCCGATACTGCGCTTGCTTGAAAATAATACTGGAGATAGGGCGTAGCCCGTGGGTCGTCCTTGGAATATTGAAGGAAGACAAAGTGTTCCTTGACGGTATCCCGCACTCCAGGGTCTTTCCACAGGTCCCGGTTGAGCACCTGGCAGTCGAAGATTGAAGAATCCTGGATGTTGACCAGCAACCACTTCTCAGTATCGCGGCCTTCCTGCCGAGCGGAATCCCAAGGGAGCCGAGACATAATCTCGAACGGCGGACGATACATCTCAGCCAGCATGTTCTGTTTACTTGAGGCTTCGGAGGCTCCTCCAGTCGCTGCTGCCAGTTGCTCACGTTGTGACGCCTCATCTTCGCCGTGCCATATCGACGCCGTATCTCTTTGATTGAAGATACCGGGACGGTCTTGGGAAGCGGAAACAATGAGTTAGCGACGGACAGACGGGAAGATAAATGGTATCACAGGGTTATACTGACTGTGTCGCTGCTGGCGAGCGCGCAGTTGGCCCAAAATGCTGGCATGCATGTCGCCGTCGTCAAAGTCCGCTTCTGGGCCCACCAAAGTTTCTGTGGTGCGAGCCATCGGTGCGCGCACCTCTTCTTCAGCACCCGCCCCTCTGTACATCTCCTCCTGGAGCCGACGAGCCATGGCCGCATCATCTTCGAAGTGAGCGCCGCGGGCGGAAGGCCGCGATTCGTCCACCGTGGTGTCGTCTTCGTCGTCGTCGTCTGAGTCGATGTGTACAACGCCGGAATCATCTTCATATCCTCTGGCGCGAGAGGCTTGCTGAGGCGCGGAAGTTGATGGCGCAGGCTCTTCTGTTAGCGGTGCTCCACCATTCTCAAAGTAAAGTTGCATAGCCTGCTCGATGTTGAAATCGGCAAGCTGCAAGTACTGGATTGCCAGCTCCGGCTTGGAGCCGGTAATTTCGGTGAACTGGGCCACCACATCGCCGTCCATGACGGGCAAAGCACGCTGGGTTTTGTTTTGGAAGCAGGAGAAGATGTAAACAGGATAAATAGTGGGGTATCAGGCCGGTGCGAGACGGAAACCACCTGCAGGAGAACTTAACTGCGAGCTGCAAGGTTGATGAGTGAGGAGGGCAATATGATGCAAACAGCTGCAAACTCCAATGACGGTATTAAGGCGGTGATCAGGGATGACAGATTACAGGGCAGCAGGGCAACAAGATAGGCTCAGTGGAATAGATTCAGCTTGAACAGGTGGAGGTCGGAGATACATAGATTTATTTGATTGTCAATCAAAGTGTGCTAAGAATATAGAGATATAAGCTAAGAGAAGAGTATAAGCAAGTAAGTACTATGTACCTAGTTATATAACAGTAGTAGAAGACAATGTCCGCTCCGATATTTAGGTAGGCAGGATCAGTGACGCACTTCGTTTAGTTAAGTTAGTTGGTTGACCAACTAAGCGCCCGCACAGTTACATAATCACCGACGCAGCCCAACTTCAAATGCAGTAACCAAAGCTGCGGCACTGGGCTTTGTCGGGAACCCTACTTGACTGTCGCAGGGCTTTCGCAGCCGACGCGTGACGCGCCGAGGCAGCGCGTCGTGGATAGCGCCGCGGCCCTAAAATCGGGCGAGGCTCAATTATGCCTCCTTGGGAAAAATAGCTCCATGTCCACTCACTCACTCACTCACTCACTCCCGTTACCCCCATTACTATCCAATCCAGTCTGCACTTGCCTTCCTATTCACTAATTTGTTTTTACTATCTCACCCAACGCTCTTACCTCCTTTGTGTGAGGGTTTGTCGTATCGTAACAATGGCTGTCTCGGTTCTGGGCAAGCGCCAACGGGGTGCCATCGAGACAGAAGGTACGTTGACTTGCTTTCCTCAGCGGAGCTCACTATCAACTTCCTTGTCTAATCAATTCTTTTCTATAGCTCCTCAATTGCTACTTCGCAGTGGAAGCAAGCGCCGAGCACAGCCGCCCCGCATCCGTGAAGAACCCGAACCCACTGCATTACAAACACGACAGCTTCGTTCGAGGACAATCGACAATAGCATTGCCGATCCGCAAGAGAACCGAAGCCTCAAGAAATTAGAATCTTCTACGGACCATACCTCAGACCGCAGCTTGAGGAAAAACAAGATCGTTTCACCAGTCAAGCTTTCACCAGTCAAGCGCAATGCTACTACAGATCCTATCAATGGTTAGTCGACCGGAGCAGCAATGTTCAAGGCCACTACTGACGGAATATAGACGAAAATTCAACACCAGTCGAATTCAAGACTCCTTCGAAGTCGAGATTTCGGGATGCACTCGACTCCCCGCCGGTCACACCCAAACACCGCGTTCAGGTTGGCGCAAAACCGTCGACGCCACGAACTCCCCGCCATGCAACCACTCCTACAACTGCTACCACCGCACAGACTGTCTATACGCAAGCAAGACAATTGTTTGCACGAGGCGCATCCTCTACGCGGATCGTTGGCAGGGAGGCCGAACGGGAAAAGCTTCGCGATTTCATACAGGACAGCCTACACACTCGCACAGGTGGCTGCCTGTATGTGAGCGGTCCTCCTGGTACCGGAAAAAGCGCATTGGTTCAGGAAGTGTGTAATGGGATGGACCTGCAATCAGCCAAGGTTACACACATTAATTGTGCGAGCATGCGAGCCGCCCGTGATGTTTACAGCAAGCTTATCGAGGATCTTTGCGATGACTCTGAGGTGTTTAAAAAGAGCGAGGCGGACCGGCTACGAATGATGTTCACATCGAACAAGAAACAGAACGATTTATATTTCGTGACCCTGGACGAGATTGACCATCTCCTCACTGCGGACGCTGGCATTTTGCAGTCCCTATTCGAGTGGTCTCTACAGAGCGAGTCGAAACTTATGCTCATTGGGATTGCAAATGCACTTGATTTAACCGACAGGTCGTTGCCTCAGCTGAAAGCCAAGAATCTCAAGCCACGTCTGCTCCCATTTCTGCCTTATAATGCGGCTCAAATTGCTGGAGTCATTACTGGTCGACTTCGTTCCCTGCTTCCGGAGGGTCACAGTGCAGATCCAAACTTCATCCCATTTGTCCAGCCCGCAGCGATCCAGCTGTGCTCGAAGAAGGTGGCCTCGCAGACTGGCGACCTACGCAAGGCATTTGAGCTGATCAAGCGCGCCATCGATCTTGTGGAACAAGAAACCCTACAGAAGCTCGAAAAGCAAGATGCCGCGTCTGGCACTCAAAACCAAACTATTCTCGTTGAGAACAATAATCTCTCATCCATCAGCAAATGCTCACCACCTTTCCAGAAGTCTATGAAGGCCTACACCCCCCTCACCGCACCACGAGCGAGCATCGCCCATGTGGCGCGCATCACTTCCTCTGCTTTCGGTCAGGGCACCGTGCAAAGACTTCAGGGTATCAATCTTCAACAGAAAGCCGCAATCTGTGTATTGATCGCTCTAGATCGGCGCCGTCGAGAGACAGAAATCCCAGGTACTCCATCCAAGAACAAAAATGTGGCTCCCACGGTCAAGCAGGTCTATGATGCGTATTGCGCCCTGTGTCGGAAAGACAATCTTTTGCACCCTCTCACATCGACGGAATTCAAGGATGTACTTAGCAATCTGGAAACCATGGGTCTCGTGGGCGAACACCAAGGCCGCGGTCGAGGTGGCACAGTCGCTGGCGGAACCGACATTCGACGTTCTCCCTCTAAGCATGGAGCTGGCCCCATGACTCCTAGTCGAGCGCTGGACGAGCAATGCCTCGTATGCTTCGTGTCTCAGAAGGAGATCGAGAGCCAAATCGCAGGACCCGGAGAGGGCATCCTCCGCAGGCTGCTTTTAGGTCAAGCCTAACACTTCATCAACATTCTGCATTTCTGAGCGTTTGGCCACCTGGCCTTCATTGCATTTTTGCATTGCACCGACTTCTTATGTCTTGGTTATCGGTGCATTGGACCCCGCACAAACATTTCATCACTCATATCTGGGATTAGCACAGCACACACAGCATGGCACAGCACGGTACGGAACATACCTCATAGCGTTGTATACTTAGTTTACTTGGCACTATAATTCAGAGAAAAATACAATCAAAATTCATCTTACTTGCAGTTCTCCTTTGACGGTTTATTCTACATTGGGATTCTATCTGCAAACTAGACGGTGCATATCACACGCGGGGACTGTTCGAGGATAAATCCGAGACAATGCACGGAAGTGGATATTTCGCGAACACATGATAAAATCCTGAAAACACAGCAGGCATAGATAGATTGATCGATCGATGGAAGGAAAGAAACAAAGATAGATAAATGGAATGGGAGCACTATGTATACACCAAAGATAGAATAAACATACGAAGATGTTGGGTATGTCAGAGGAAGAAAAGAAGCAGAAGCAGGTTTGCAAAGGAACCTCAGGCAGAGGGAGCGGGATGTCGACTCTCGAGCGGGATACAATCGAGGATGCACGAAGCAAACAGTAAGAACACAGAGGAAAGGAGAAGTGGCGAAGAAAGACTGCTGACTAGGTAGGTAGTCCTTGGGCCCAAGGCTTTCTTGGCTGATAAGACCGGCTCTCAGATCCGAAAAAGAGGCCAAGGTAACTGAGGTCAGCAGACACATATCATGCGTAAACTCCACTCACTTTATGTTGCTCCACCATCCTTATCTCTCAGAAGGGGGGTGGAGCACCATAACGATCTGTTCCCGGCAGACTAATAGAGTATAGTCGTTGGTGGCTGCTAGTCCCTCCCCAACCCACTGTCATGATGAGAGAACCTCAAGCAAGACATGCAACAACATTCAAGACGTTCAGGTCATATGAGTCAATCAGTCAGTTAGTGAGTGCATCCACACATCACTTGAGTCGCGTTTAATCATCGTCCATTGGCTTGTCCTCCAATGTAACACCTTTGGGCTCGTTCTCGATGGTTGCCAGGCTGCTGCGCTTGCTGTCAGATCCATTCTCACTGTTCACCGCGATGGGAAAGCTGGAACGGTTGCCAAGACCGGGTTTGCGGTTGAACATGACACTGGAGAGGGGGATCGAAGTGCGCTTTTCGGCTTCCTGGGTGGGAGTGGCAGCGGTCACGGGGCTCATGGATCCATCTGATCCTGCGACCGGAGGAGGACTCGAAGTTCCAGATCCGGAGCTGGCACTGATGGCGGGAGAGTCATCCGCAGCACCGTTGGTCTCAAGAGCCTCTGAGTTGTCGATGTTCACGCTGCTCATTTTCTCGGCAGCTGTAGGAGATTCCACATTGGTGGGAACGTCGAGGCTATTACGGAGGTTGGTTCTCCGCTCGGTAGGGCTCGTGACGTTGACGGGGAAACGCCCGGCCTCTGAAGCACCGCTAGAACGATCCCGACGGTGCTTCCGTGGGGGGTTGGGGCTGTGGGCGCGGCTGCGGTCGACAATGGCGCGGTTCCGCGCTTCCATGGCTGCGCGTCGATTGCTCTCATCGGTGCTAATAGCACGGGGGCGATTGCTGGTGCCACTGATCCCGAGAGCGCTCGATTGGCGCTTGAGCTCGCCGAAAATAGCATCTTTGTGAGCGAACAGGTCACGGATTAGGCGATAGCTATGGCGCTCGTTCATCGTAAGGCTGCTCTCCGTGCGGGGGCGGAGAATGCAAGGGGAGAGCGCTTGGGCAAGAGAAGATACATAAGCTTCGTCGGCAGACGTCAGGTCTATCAAACGCGTGAAATGGGTCATAATGGCGTCAAGTGTGGCGATGTTATTGAGACGGAGTTGGCCGAGTGTGCTTTGAAGAACTTTGATGCGGCCTTCCTCTGTGGTCTCATGGGCGGTGGTGGAATAAATTGTCTTAACAATTTCATAAACTTGAGAAGAAACGAGCGAATCTGATTCATGTTAATGCGAATCAGATTGTGAGACGAGATGGATACGAACCTGGCAATTCAAGAAGATACAACTTCAAGACGCTGGCAATGATAGGAATCTCGTATTTCTCGAGCACTTCGTTGTAGTCCGCTCTGCTGTTGTTCAATGCATTCCGCAAATGGTGCGTTGCCGCTAAAGGTACATCATAGAGCCATATCGCACGTCGGGCCTCGTCACCCTCCAATTCAGGGTAACCTATATTTTTGGTCAGTCAATCTCCAAGAGGACGACGTCAATACTGCAGCGCTCTTACGGTTGTCAAGATAAGTGAGGATAGTCGTTACAATAATTGGAACCCGCTTGCGATCGGCTCTTGCTCTAGCCTCGAGATCAACACCGAAGTTCTGATCTAGATGCAGATTAGATCTCAGCTGCCCAGACGGTTTACGAAGAACGGGGTCTTCTACATACCTTCCACGGAGCCGTAGTAGTTTTCGTAAGCCTGTACGCGGGGGACAAAACCGCCGGTCCGGTAGTTCTCCAGAAGGTATCTAAGATCTCCGAGGGGCTGAATAGTCTCCTGGTACAGCATCATGTGATCCACCGTGCTCTGCAGGTTAGGAATCACGTTGCTGATTGCCCCAGAGAAATCTAGGATTACGGCTTTGATTGCCTTGAGACGGTCCAATTCGCACTGCTCCATAAAGCGCAGATTCTCAACAATCTCCTCCTCGAGCTTGCATCTGATCAGGTCAAGTCGCCGCACAGCAGCCTTGTACCGTTCATCAGCCTCGCGGGCCTCTCTGCGCAACTTTTCCGCTGGCGTTTCGTTCGGGTATGGGTTATTCAGCGGGTTCCACCCGGCGAGCATCTCGGATACAGAAGACAGGGGGGAGTCACTGCCATCTTCGCTGGAGGCGATAGAAGTGACCCGCATCAGAGGCTTTTTCTTGTCGGGAATGCCTGTGACTTGGAAGACTTTTGGGCGCCACTGATAACGCATCTTAGAGCTATTGGCAAACGTGCTGCCCATGTTTCCCACGAGCCTAAGAACCCCGTTGTCGACAAGGTCCTGGCCGATTCTTTCACAATAGCTGATGCTGGTTCCGTTCAGATACTTCTGAATATAGTCGACGATGTCGGCACCGGTCGATGTGTTCTGATAGGTTCCAATGATGGGCACTTTGACATCGCCCACTTTGATCGTTTCCAGCATGTGTATCAACAGCTTCTTCAGGTCCTCGGGAGGATAGATGCGATCGCCGATTTCGACCGGCTCTTCTTCCTCTCCCTCTTCTTCCGGCAAGACGATCTTGGGAGTGGGCTTGATTTTGGGACTGGTCTCGGGACCTTGGAAAGCAAGCTTGTTCTCTTCCTCCAAATCCTCCACAACACGGCACTTGTTGAAGTAGTGGCTCCGCAGTTTCTTGACCAATTCGACCTGCTTCGTATGTTCCTTGATGCGGGCCTGCAAATCATCGTGAGAGTTCTGTATCCGCGCCTCATGTTGATCGCACCAGCGGCGGAACGGCGACACGACCAATTCCCGAATGTTGGACGCGATTTTCTGGTGGTTCTTGGACGCCTCGACCATTTCCGTGCGAACACCTTCATAAGCCTGCAGAGAAAGATGGCAACCCTGCATTAGTACTCGCATAGACATGAAAGACCTAGCTTTAACTCTCCGATCCGCTTACCTTTCTCACGCTCGCCCCGTCGTCCTTCGCAAACCCTGTTGGTGTCACCCGGTCGACGGCCGGCGCAATGTCCCCGAGTTTGGAGCCATACATGTCCTCCGCGTCCGCGCGCATCGAGGCAATAGTCAGAATTTGTTTGTTTTCCACCGCGCCCTGCTGGAGTTTGCCGTAGAGTACCCCCAGACCTGTGGCGTAATCTGGGGTCCAAAACGAATCTGCGAAGCCAGGCATTGTGAAGCAAGATCGGCGACCGACAAACGAGCAATGAATTGGAGTTCCTGGTCTCGCCTAAGGTGCTGCAATGATACGCAGAGGTACTTGTTCGAAGTCGGCAAGTCTCCCAAGGTAGAGATGATCGGTCGTCGTCGCCAGCGGAAGGCGGCCGGATTAAACAAACTAGAGGCGCAACGGCAACTGTACACAAGGACCGTGGAGAAAGTGAAAAGAGAAGTAAGAAAACGACCGGCTTGAGCGCAACCAATATAGCTGAAGGTTTCAACGATCCCTAAGGTGGCACGGAGGAGCTGCGAAGAGACATAGGCTCGGGGAGAGGGGAGGAGGGGGGAAACAAGTATGCGAGAGCGGCTACAGAAGACGACAGCCTAGAATTCGGGGGGGGGGGAGAAGGTGGGATGAATGCAGCGCCAATGGAGAGCAGTGATGCAGTAGATAATAACGAAGAGAGAAGAGATAGAGGGGGAAAATAAAATACGATATGCTCTAGAAGAGAAGCAATTGTTTTGTCAGGGAAGGAGAGGTGAAAGGAAGAGAAGTAAAACCGGGAGGAAGAAACAATGATGATGATGATGATGGGATGAATATTTCGAGATTCCAGAGGATAAGTTAGACTAGAGAGAGAGAGAGAGAGAGGTTCGGTCGGGCCTTGGGCTCTCCATCCGTCATTATGGAGGGCGACGGTGTAGGTACTGGGTACGGTAATTTACATGTAAGTTTTCAACACTACGACCGATTAGTGCAGGAATACGGAGTACGTACCAACCTGAAACCACGTTAAATAAAAGGCCCTATAGAAAAGAAAAGTGACTGGGCAGGGCTGGTCAAGTCAACTCTAACTTACTGAGGTCTACGTAACTCTTGGTTACTATGGAGTACAGTCCCCACTAGACCATTGCCGCCCGCCTTCTTTTTTTCCCAGTCTCCTCCTCAGCCTCGCTTTATCCCTCACGTGTTGCTTTGCTGGCTAGGAATAAGTAGTCTAAGTTATTTAGTAGAGAACTGCTGTTGTTCTGCTGTTGTTCTGCTGTTGTTCTGCTGTTGCTGGAAAAGTGGCTACTATTTTTGGTCTCCCCGTCACGGTTAATTATTACCGTTGTCTTAGATTGATTTCCCAACAATCTCACATGGCCCCCCCCTTCCCGTAAGTGACCATGGTATAATTAGGTATAGTCTGCTGTCTGATCATTGCCCGAGTGAGGTTGGAATCCAACCCTCCTCCACTAACACTCGGTGTGTTCATTCGCTACTGACGGAGGACCAGAAAGACACCAGTTTCTCCTGCCGCCAAGACCACAGAACAGACCACCTCCCTCAATTTTGAGATTTCAAATGACAGTCTTGAACGCGAAATCAAGTCACTTCATTCCGCTCGCTTCTACAACTCATAGTCCATGTACCTTGCGCAAGACATCAATTCGAGTCGAGTTGTATTTGACCATGAAGACGGTTTAAAACACCAAGACGCACCAGATGCTCTCATCTGTACAAGTGAGGGAAAGAAAGATTATCGTTATGGTACACAAAGTTCAGGCACGTAAGGTATCATGATATTAAGGCGCCCGTGTATGTCCAATGTCTGACTGGCAACACTTCAACCTAACAGAAAAACTTGTAAACCTTCTTCCAAGCTGGCCAGGACGCCTGTTCGGCCTGTTCCTGCTCAATGAGATACTGGATATCCAAGTCACGTCGACCAGTCTGCAGGTCCATGTCTTTGGCGCGGATAAAGGGAGTCTTGTACCACAGTTTGTAAGGGATGTAAAATGCCAGCACGACAGGCGCGGCGAGGTAGGCCGAGAAGAAGTTTTCGACCAATGCCGAGGCAGACATACTCGCATATCCGGTAGGCGCGAACCCAACCCAGAACTGGGCTACCAAAACCAGGCAGTTGAAAGCGAATCCGACCCAGGATCCGACCACTCCAGGTTGAGACCGGAAAGCAAGTTCGTTCAAACTATGTCCTTGGATT